AAAGTACCGAACACTACATTTAATTCATTCGCTGAAATGCTCTATATATATTAAGAAAAATGCTTTGCGTACTATATATTGGACACTAATGCTTGGCGTTCATTTATTCTGTCCTTATTTAAAGGAAAAAATTGGTGGCTTAACTATTTTTTTCCCAGTCCAAATGTGGCAGTAATTAGTACTATTAATAGTCTTTACTACATTTTAGCTTCCTGAAGTGCACCGGTGGCTTATGATATACTGCCTGCCTGCTATACAAAAAATATTAAATACTATACTGTTATTGTACGATGGTATTGCTGTGGTATTATAATGGACCTAAGCATTCGTTGTTTATGTTATTTCCGGGAATGCATGTGTGGATAATAGTTTACATATAGTATGTTGTGGTTCTCATGGCCTCTCGTTTGCTGTGCACAGGTTCTGATGACCGTCGCGTAGTTCTGCTAAGTGACGGTGAAAGTGGGGAGGATGATGTTTTCAAGACTCCGCCGCTGGTGTTGGACGAGGATGTCGAGATGGAAGCACCCCGTGTGCAGCGTTCAACAAGAGGCTAGTTCAACACACGTGGGACGCCGAAGGACCTCGCAAACTTCATGGGAACCTTGATTGAGAGGCAGAGGGGGGATGTTCTGGCGATTGGCCTTGGTGCGCTGTTGGGGTTTAAGATTACTGAGGTACCGCTGCGTATGGGTCATTGGTTGGTCACCTGTTTTGACCCGGTTAAGAAGAGGATCAACCTGGGGGACGGTTGGTACATTCCTGTCACCAAGGAGGATGTTGCCGCCATCTTTGGCTTGTCGTGTGGACCAATACCGATTGCTGAACGGGATAGCCAGGGGGTTAGCCCGGAGTTGCGGGACTGGAGGGACGCGGTGAAACAACGTAGAGGGAGGATTACAGCTTGGGGGTTATGTGCGCTGTTGGAGGAGTTGAGTGATGGTGGCCGGTGGTTCAAAATCCATTTCAGTGTTGTAGTGATGACCACCCTGGTTGCGAGCACACCTAATGGCTATGCAAACCAGAAAACTGTCCACATGTTAAGTAGTGTGGACACGATAGAGGACCTTGACTGGTGTGAGTATTTGATTCGCTCGTTGGTTACTACCCATCGGAGTTGGACCGAGGGTTCGAATCGCAAATTCACTGGCCCACTTCTGTTCCTAACTGTAAGTGGTTTTGGTTTTGGTTCTGTAGGGGGTTTGTTATTTTATCTTGGCTAACAGTGGCGTGTTTGTGTGTGTTCAGCTTTTGTATTTGGATAGGGTCGTGGTGGGTGTGAGAGAGGTCCCTAGGACGATCCCGCTCATGGTGGGGTGGACCACGGATCTCATCAAAGCACGTGAGCTGATTGAGCTTGATTCTGGGGGATTCGGTAAGGGTGTGGTGGATGGTCCTCCTTGTGCGTCAAATCCTGGTGCACCGCAACTCGGGACAGGGGTGGGACCACGCCATGGACAGGCTTGTGCCGAGAACATGGTATGATTTTTGATGTAGCCGTTTTTTTTTTCCAATCATTATATAATTTGCATGTTAACATCCGTTGTGTGTGTGGTGGTGGGGGTGGGGGGTTGCAGGGATTTGGCCAAGAGTTTGCAGTAATCACCGCTGAGTTGCAATCGCTCACCACAGAGGTTGTTGACTTGGTTTCCAAGCACCCCAACGAAGTGCAAGAAGATTGTAATTTCCAAACAGTGGTGGATTCAATCAAACAGTGGGAGGTTATTGTAAAGACAGCAGCCAAGGCAATTGAGGCAGCTCCTAAACCGCCCGCCCTGTCGCCGGGTCGCGACGAAGGGCCTCTGTTGTATGATGCAGACTTTTTAAGGGAGCTTGACCGGGCTGAGATGGCTGCTACTGGGGTTTATGGCGTGTCTGATATGCCAAGTTTCATCTTAGGTTTGACGCAAGAGTTTGCAGCGCATAACCGGACAAAGAACATGGTTCAAGAGCCGGTCTCCGCTGCACCACCTCCTCAGGTATGCTAATGCATATTATTCTGCTAGTGTCATTTTCAGATGTTTATTTGGGACAACATTTGCAGGAACTAGGCAGCGCACGTGTTGCATCACATCCCGCTGCACCGTGCACAGCTCCGGTTGACGGGCCAAAGGGCAAAGAGAACGCTGCATCGTGCACAGCTCCAGTTGACGTGTCAAAGGGCAAAGAGAACGCTGCACCGTGCACAGCTCCAGTTGATGGGCCAAAGGGCAAAGAGAAGGAGCTAGTTCTTCAACATGCCCAGGCGCGGGGGATTTACTTCAGCTCCATGCTTGGTTACCCGACTACTCCACTGCCGCACGTGTATGTTCTGTGGATGTGGGTTTTTAGTTGCCCCCAGGGAGAACGGTAAGTGGCTTTTAATGCGACTGAGCTCGGGTGTTCGGGGTGCATTCTAATTATTATTGGAAAATGTGGTTGGGGTCTATTCTGAAAATGTTTGGTTTATCGTTGTTAACCTGTAGCGATGAGGTGTTATTCCAGTATGCTGAGCGGACGGTAAAGTGGGCACAAATCTAAACACTTAGGGAGGGGTCGAATGTGTCCAAGCCTGTTGTTGATGCCTGATGCTATGTCCTGAATGCCCGGGAGGAGCTGAGCACAGATGGTGGCGTGACGTGGTTGTTTCTTCCCACTAGCACAACGGTACGCTTTTGTGTGCACTCTAGCAGAATGCATACCATGTTTTCTGGTGCAAACCCCTTCTAATTATTAACTGGTATATGCAGATTGGGATGGTTGTTGGAACATCTGTCAGCGAGGACGCGAGGATCAGTTGGTTCGCGAATCGCATGGATGCCGAGTTGCAGAGAATAGGCCGTGGGGGTACTGCCGACATAGATATGATGATGTACCCTTAACTATTATGACATTGCACTAACAACTACCCTCCATAGACTAATACTCCTTTTTTTTGGATGCCAATGCAGTTTATTTTCCCAATTTTCACCAAGGGCACTTATTACATGATGGCTATCAGCTGCAAGCCACCCCGTTTTGACGTCATTGATAGTTCGTCTGCGAAGAAGACAAACAAAGAAATGTATGGTGGGGCTCCAGAGGAGCTGGTATGTGTCCTTAGCTCCATACTTTGTTTATTAATTATTTCTTCCTTAGTTCCGTGTGGGCTGTTTTTATACCACATTAGCGGGTGGTCTACAGTTTTTTTTTTTTTTTTGTTTTTTTTTTGGGCTGTTTCCCTATTGTGTGTGCATCACTTCAGCATACTTAAGAACAGGTAATACATGGCTCAATTGGATTTAGGGGCTTAACACTTCATTCATTAGCAAAATCCTATATGTTAGGAAGAAACAGACTGTGCATGACCTGCCAATATTAGTTATGTGTCTAATTATGGTGTCCTATACTCGTTTTTATTCTCATTGCATTATGAAATTTTCACCAGTGTTTTGATTCCTTTTTATGATGATCTGCAGTTTTTTGATTCCCTTTTAAGTGGATCTTTGCCGGCGTAGAATTAACTGCTACTGTAACATATCTTATGCATCATATGTTATAAATAGTCATGCGTTTTAGGCGTGTGCCCTTCTTATCCTAAGTTGGTCACAGCAGTGTTAATAATGATTTTCGTGCAGATAATGTGCCTGAGTGCTTACTTGGACTCCAAGCGGCAAGGGCTTCGTGCTGCACGCATACAAATGTTGAAAACGAAGAGGATGCAGATGGCGTGGAGGGATACCACCTCAACATTGGATTCTGGGGTGTTCACGATGCACCATATGGAAGCATACGTGGGACAGGGGTGTGCGAGTTGGGATACTGGTCTGCAACGGGGGGATGCCATGCAGATGCTCAACCTACGCAAGCGCTACATGCACAATATCCTGCTTAGCGTGGTAAACACTCATACAACCAGTATTGCTGTGCGTGTGTCAGCTTTTGAAAGTAAAAGATTGGCACAGATGCATCGGTGAGTAGGATGGGGTGCCAGCATGGAAGAAGATTTGATAATGATTACACCTCCAATCTGGGGTTTTGTTTTTTTTGTCTCAGCAGTTATGGTCTAGCTCAAGTGCTGTGGTTTAATTTTTGGTGTATATTATCTTAGGTGGTGATGGTCAGTTATTAGTTAGACTTTTTTAAATGCTTGGGCAGTGCAACACGGTTTTAAATTTGGTTAGTCGGTTTGATCTATTTTCGTTGTTAATAAATTATATTTGGGGGATCCCTGTATTCTATTTGCATACAGTTGCAGAGGCAGTTATGGTCTAGCTCAAGTGTTGTGGTTTAATTTTTGGTGTATATTACCTTAGGTGGTGATGTTCAGTTATTAATTAGACTTTTTTAAATGCTTGGGGCAGTGCAACACGGTTTTAAATTTGGTTAGTCGGTTTGATCTATTTTTGTTGTTAATAAATTATATTTGGGGGATCCCTGTATTCTATTTGCATACAGTTGCAGACATTGCAAACCATAAGGATATCTCAAATAAAAAAATTAAAAAGAGGTGGACAAAAATCGTAGCAACTACTTGAAATATTTGCAAAGTAAATCATATTCTTGTGTAATATAATATGTCATAATAAACCACATAAACCAAAATTGGTGAATCAGGGTAGGAGACATTATGCATGCCTGTGTATATACAAACGCACACTGTGCAGTGGGGGGTATGTTTTATATTAAAAAGTCCATTTTAATCAAAAGTGTTATCACATGTGTTATGCTAGGCTGTCTATTACAGGTCCATTTTGGTTATTAAAAAGTGGGTTTGATATGCATTGGAAAATTCCAAAAAAAATAATGCAAAAGGGAGAAAATTAGGTAGCAGTGTATGCGTGGGCACTCCAGCGTATGTGTATAAGCAGTGCAAAAATTGCTACTAACAGTAATAGGTGATTAAAAAACTGATGTTATTGGAATGCACTAAATGAATTACAAACTGACTATATAATCCTGGGTACAGGCCAACGAATCGTACTGAATAAAAAAGGGAGTAAAACAAACCAATTTAAATAGGCTACAGAATTCTTAGCAAGTTACTTTGACGGGCAACTACGGGCGTTATGGCGAGCATATTTACCACAGATCCCGCACTTTCGTCCGATTTTGGCATTTTTCTCGATGGCTATCTCCCTGTGGCTTTTTATACGCTTTCCAGTGCCTTTGTTCTTCGCTTGGGCGGGGGGCTTGATTGTTATTGATTCTGGCGGCTCAACACCGCATAATGCCTGTATCGCAACACGGTTACCCTTAACAGGGTTCGTAGATAGTCCGTCACTACTGAATTCTGCGTTAAGGTCCTTCAGTATCGAGACCATCCGCGTTTGCCGCTCTAGGCTGTTGCCTACCAGTCCAACGCACGTGTTTATCTCATCCCACAGTTGTGTTGCTATAGGGGTTGGCTTATCACCATTTGACGGTACTCCTTTGCATGCGCCGCAAGTAAGATGTTTGCACCATCGGCTCACAATAATGTATTCAGCCGGTAACTGTTCCATCTGTGCACCCCGAAAAACCACAAACATATGCCGACAGACCAAGCCCATTCTTCGGAACAAGTTGCAGTTGCATGATGCTCCAAGACTACCAACCTTGTAGTGCATGGTCGCAATAATGTTGCCCTCATTTGCAATGTCGTAATGGGTGCTATCCCTGTCTTGGCGTACACCAATCACAGAACAATAAAAACAAGCTGCTTCTATTTCTTTCTGTAGCTCATAAAAAATAGTGATCGTGAATTCTCGTGCAATATTACGCTCGAGTGCTAATGGCGTTTTAAACTCAGGCAGGTAACCCACGCACTCTGCGTTTAATTTATCTTGTCGATAGCGCTGCGCGCTCTCGAATTGCATGTAGAACTCTACCAAACTGGAATGGGGGCGTGTGAATTTACCGTATACACTGTTTTCTGATTCTGACCGCGATGTGGTTCTTAGCAGCCCACTCATGGGCAAATCAAAAAAGTAAGCCGGGATCCAATTCTCCCTTTCACCAAATATTTTTCAAAACCACCGATGGTTTGTTAGCTTGTACTCATCTATTAATAGGTGCCATTGCGCCTCAAACTCATCAATGCAGATTCTTTCGTTCCAGACGATAGCGTTTAGTTTTTTGCGAAACTCATTGTCCTTAGCTAACTCATTGCCTAGCTTTTCATTAACCTTTGTCATAATGTGCCACATACAGTAGCGATGGCGGCAATTTGGCAATACTTGTTGGATAGCAATTCGCATAGCTGGGTCTTGGTCCATCACAACACATAATGGGCTCTTGCCCATTGCAGCTATAAATTTCTCCAACAGCCAGCTGTATGAGTCAACGTCTTCCTTAGTGAGCAAACCGCCCCCAAAAGTGATGCATCGTTTGTGATTGTCCACACCCGTAAACGGCACAAACACAATACTGTACCTGTGAAATAAGAAGGCATGCATTAGTTCCAAAATTACTCGTGTACGTTTAATACAAAATAATTAGGCATCAAAGGGCTATTTTGTATGAAGTTAGTCGAGGGCCTACCAGAACATCAAAATCAAAATAGAAGCAATAAAATAATAGTTAAGGTGAAAAATAAATATTATTTAATTGGAAAAGAAATACCCCTATTCAAAAAATAATATATATGCAGATATATACATACCCACCTACCATCATGATATTTGTTTGTGCATGCATCATAGTCATTAACAGTATAAAAATTCTCCAAAAAAAAAAAACAACAAAATACACACACATGTTCGATACAGTAAATTATCAAAATTCAAAGCATAATTAATAGAATTATATCATTTGAATGAGATTTTGCAAGTAATTCAGCAATAATAATGTGATGCTCAAAGGGCATTTGGGTGGGCGTAACATGCACATACAACTACCAGTACACACATTGTGCAGGGGTTCAATCTAAACATCCACAGTAATCAAAGTGCAACCCATACCTGTTTGTTCCGTAGGTGGCATCGAAGGAAATATTATCGCTGTAGCAAGAAAATGTCCGCCTATTGAGGGGGTCAGCCCAAAATAGACGCGATAGCCGGTTTTCCTCATCCATATGGTATTCATAAAAAAATTCGCTACACATTTCTTGCTTGGCTTTGAAGGTGGAGATAATCATCTCCCCATCAGCTACATCAACGTACGTTTGGACATCTCGCTTAAAATTGTGGAATTCCACGTCCGTTGCGCCGACATTTGCATACGATTCGGTGGCTTCCTTGCAAAACCGCAGCCCCGTTGAAGAACCAATGTTGGCCTTAACACAATTACCTAAAAAAGCCTGGTGGACCACATTGAGACGTCGGTTAATTCGCATAAAAACTTTAGACGAATCTGAGCACAATTTGTGGGTGTGTTCCTCAACAAAAACGGTAACGATGAACTCCCCAGAGCCTTTTTTTTTAAGCCAATCCTCGCTCCGCAATTAACTCTGTTAGAAAGTCGGCGGCGGCGCTCCGTTTATCTCCAGCATTCACACCTCGATCATGGTCGCGGGGTATCCTACCACCGGCTCTGAACCCTTGCCGGCTGCACACCAAATATCGCAAGTACACTTCTCCGTCTCGGTCATGCTTCACGGAGCTACATCGAACGTCAAACCCGATGGTCCGAGCGTAGTTGGTGTAGCATTGGATACCCTCGTTTAGTGTTCTAAATACACGCCCCACTGCCGGCAGCTCTATAGCATCCATGGCGGGGTTTAAATTGTGGTCGTCGGGTGGCGGTAACTCCATTGCGCAGCCACCCTCGTCCGGTTCGCATGCCATCACCCTTTGTCGGTACCTCGCAGGTTCGTTACGGATCAAAGTCGACAAGCGTAAGCAAGCCAAGGAATACGTGTTGGAATCCTATTCAATTAAGATGGGAGGGAAGTTACGTGGTTAGAATTCTATTCAAATAAGATGCACACTTGAAGTAATATAATGCTGGCAGGGATCCCATGGTGCATAGTGCATGCATCTGTTGTGAGGAGCAAATATTTGGCCATCTGATCCAATACATCGACGCACCTGATTGATCCGCAAGTTCACACATTAATAATGATTCGCACCTGAAAAATAGCCTATATAGGATTATATTCAAATACAAACAACCCTTAAAATACAAACGTGTGGATTGATTATGATCGTTAGATTTTGTATTTGGATGGATAAGATGTATTTAATTATTTATATATATTATTTTTAACTACATGGATGTTTTTAGGTTAGAGGGGGTTATTTTTGGATTTTTACCATTGCAATTAATAAGGTCAAAGATAAGAATTCAATCAGCAATTAACATTTTGGTGGCCGACGATTCTCTCTCCCTCTTTACCGTACTGGTGCCTACGATTCTCCCAGCCGTTCGATTCGCAGCCTTCATCAACAGGCAACGATGGTCGAGAGTGTGGGCCGCAATGGAGCCAAGCACGGGGACCACCAACTCCGGGTGTAGGTCGAGGTATTATTTGCTCTCTTTTGTCGTTTCCAGTTTTTTTGGGTGTTTGTTTCAACTATTTTTTTTTTTTACGGTGTGTCATCTGTTGGGGGTGGGTGGTTGTGCTTGTTTTTTTCCGTCGCGATTTGTGGGCGGGGGGGAGGGGGGGGGGCACCGACGACTGTTCATTGTTCGGACATCGGTATTGGGGCAGCTACGGGTGTGCATTGCAGATTTAGTTTTTTTTTTTTAAAATACTTTTTTTGCTCAATTTTGGGTCTTGATTGGGTTCGTGTTTGTATTGTTAAAAATCATTTTACATTCAAGAAATGCTCTCACTTGATTTTGGGAGTTGTCTGTTTTGGGTGTGGTGGTGTATTGGTCGTGGGTGTGCCGCGGTGTGTATGTATGTATCATTGAGAATATATAACACCTAATTAAAGTCTAATTAATTAAGAGAAAAATAGCAAACTTCTAGTAGTAGTAGTAGGTTAAGCAATGGGAATGTTTTTGACTCCAAGATAGGTTAGCCTTTCATATTTCACTAGGTTAAGCAAAGAGTAGATGATTCAGTAAACATGAATGCTTTCTTGTTATCACTGGAAACTTTTTCAATTTTTGTAGTACAAAACTAAAAATAAACGTCTTTTTATCTTGGGATTACAAAAACAAAATTTTAATTTATCAAATTTAGTTCATAAAAGATGAACTCCAAATGACTGTGTCCACCTGTACTGATTTTTGATTGGTTGTGTTATGTTGTTTTTGGGGTTTGAATTCGTTGTGTGCATGGTGGGGTATGAATGTGTGTAATCTTGTTTTATAGTGTATTATGGTTTTTTTTTTTTTTTTTTTTTTTTTGGTTTTCATTTGATATGTTCACTACAGCTTGAAGAATGGTTTAGATGAGTGCATGGTTGGGTGTAAGTTTGGTGATTTTTTCAGGTAAGAAGCCTAAGGTTTTGTAGTGTGATCATGGTGCCTCACAGAGTTGTGTTTGCAACGACGACTTTGTCTCGCCACCTTTGGCCTTCCTTGCTAGGTTGGAAGAAAAACCCAGTGTGAAATGCCCTAATGATGAGCTCACGGTAAAAGAGGATGCAACGTTTCCTACATTATATAAATTGGTTGTTTTTTGGGCAATCTTATATATAATTAAATTGGTTTTATACTAAACTATTCTGTGTGCACTGTGGATCCATTATTGTACTTTTCCATCATGCAAACTAAATTGCAAACCAGCAGTTGTAGCCTTATATTTATTAAATAATGAATCAACTGAATAAGCAAACAATTTACAGTGTATTTAGTACGCATTCTAACTACATGTAAAACAATTTTCTTTATTGCTCATAGAAGTACGTCAATTTTCTTTATTCCAATTGCGGCTGTCTTGGTGGCTGTCAGTTTGTGTGTTTTTTCTATTTTGGTATTGATGTTTTGTCCTTCCTACTTGGCTTGTAACTTTCGCGTGAGCATACCATGCATTTAATCCCCACTTCACCCTCTCTACTTTTCCACATCGTGTTATTTTTGACATCAAAGCCGACCGCGGTAGCATATCCCCCGATAGAATTTAATTTCTTGTTCTACTGTTTCAAATCGTTGCCTAACATATGATGTATTTTCCTCACTGCTAGTAGGGAAGCAGTATATGGTTCCATTTAGCGATATGTCCATAATACAATCCGGTAGTCCACCTCCAGAATGTTTTTCGCCTGTTAACCACAACAATATTATTAAAACAACATTAACATTTTGGACGTCAGTGCATGCACCTAATCTAATACAAAGCACAAATGCACATACTTGCGTTTAACTGTGTATATTTTTATCTAAAGAATTTCCAACCATAGTCATTAGCTAAAAAAATTTCACAACAGTGGCTAGTTCTCTGTTAGTGAATTGGCGTACTAAATAATTAGGTTTGCGCATGGTAGGGTTAAACTGTGTGCATGAAAACTAAATAAATTGCAAGCACAGATAATTACTATATAAATTTCACATATGGGACTAGTTCGTTGTTACCTAATAGACTTAGTAAATAACTACATATGTGCAGATTTTGCCATAACTGTGTGCATGCGCTAATCTGTGTGTATGCACAACTAAATAAATTTAAACCACGACTAAGAAGTCAATTAATTGTACTCAAGTGACTAGTTCACCATTAGCTTGTGGACTTATTAAAGCAAAGCACATGCACATACCTGCGTTTAACTGTATGCATTTTTATCTAAAGAATATACAACCATGACCGTTAGCTAAAAAAAATTCGCAACAGTGGCTAGTTCTCTGTTACTGGATTAGCGTACTAAATAATTAGGTTTGCACATGGAAGGGTTAAACTGTGTGCATGGGAAACTAAATAAATTGCAAGCATGAATAATTATTATATAAATTTCACATATGAGACTAGTTAGTTGTTACTTAATAGACTTAGTAAATAACTATATGTGCACATTTTGCCCTAACTGTGTGCATGCGCTAATCTGTGTGTATGCATAACTAAATAAATTTAAACCACGACTAAGAA